TTTTACTATTAGGTTAAAATAAAATTTTAAGATAAAGACTAATTTATTTTTTATTTGCCTTCTTATAGATTTTTAAGTAATTCTTCAAAGTCTAATAATGTCTGAGAATTTATAATATCAATATCTGTTATCATATCTATATCTGTTCTAAAAGGTATATCATATTTTGAAATATTTTTCTTCCTTTTTTTCCAATTTATCTATGATATCTTGTATATCTTTTATAATTATTGTTCTAACAATTCTTTTAGCAAAATTTTCTAATAAGTTTTCTTTGAAGCATTTTAATATTTCTTGTGATGCATATAATTGTTTTTGATATCCTATCTTATCAATTTCTTTTTCAAACTTAATTTCATTTTTTTTTTTAACAACCTTTTTTATATTATATGGTCCTCTCTTATATTTGAGTTTTTCTATTTTATAATTAGTCATTAATAATTCTCACAAATTTTTAGAAAAATTATATGTTAATTTTTTAAGGACTTAAATAGAAGATTTATATTAAATAAAGGGTTGTTTTTTAATATTTGTTTAAGGGTATTTTAGGTAATCCAAAATGTTTAGAAAAGTGAATGGCTATTTTGAAAAATCAGGTCAATTTCAGGTATTTCCCCCGCCACCACGGCACACTCAGCCCCTGCTACGCCTGCCGACCTCCAATTCCAGCCCCCCAATCTGTTCATTCACAACCATCGCTCAACCACGGCCATCAGAAGCCGGAAAGGCGATATAATGCATATACCATAACCGGCGGTGATAACTGATCCCCCTCCCCGCCCTACAAAAATGGGTATTTCGTCTCGCATCTTTCAGCCCAAAAATTACACTAAATTATGCATTCCCTTGACATTCTCCACCCATAATCACACCTTAAATGGACCACCACAAAACCCTGCTGAGGACAAACTCGTCAACTCTATACTCGAATCTCTACACAAAGGCTTTAACTGGACTGCCCTTGCACAAAAATTCAGCGCAGTTCAATTTACCAACTCCATAATTCAAAACATACTGCTACAGCTCAAAGAACCCATTAATTCAAGAAAGGCCTTGACTTTCTTCCACTGGTCAGCGCAGCAAATGAATTTCAAACATGGGCTTTTCAATTACTGCATAGCAATTCACATATTAGTAAAATCGAGGCTTATCAAGGATGCTAAGGCATTGCTAGAATCAGCATTAATGAAAACATCCTCCAATGGTAATTCTCAAGTATTCAAAGTTCTTCGTTCATTGATTGATAGCTATGAAGTTGTTGGCTCAATTCCTTTTGTGTTTGACTTGTTTATACAAACTTGTGCAAAGTTGGGAATGGCTGATGATGTTCTTGATGCATGTAAATTTTTGAATGTACATGGGTTTACATTGAGTGTGATTAGTTTTAATACTTTGCTTCATGTTATGCTAAAATCGGATGGAGTCCACTTAGTTTGGGCTGTGTATGAGCACATGGTCGAGACAAGAATTTATCCAAATGAAGTGACTGTTAGGATTATGGTGGGTGCTTTGTGTAAAGAAGGGAAGTTAAAGAAATATCTTGATATTGTGCAGAGAATGCATGGGAAGAGGTGTTCAGTTCCTGCGTTGCTTGTAAATGCTTGTTTGGTGTATAGGATGATAGAGGAGGAAAGAATTGAAAATGCAGTGGTGTTGTTGAAGGGAATGTTGCAAAGGAATATGATTTTGGATAATATTTCTTATTCTTTGGTTGTCTTTGCAAAGGTGAAGATGGGGAGTATGGGTGCTGCAAAGCAGATTTATGAGGAAATGCTCAAGAGAGGTTTTGAAGGGAATGCTTTTGTGTATAGTTTGTTTATTGAGGGATATTGTGAAAAGGGGAGGATTGAGGAGGCAGTTGGGTTGTTGGAAGAAATGGAAAATGTGGGCCTAAAGCCACATGACGAAATCTTTAATCATTTGATTAAAGGTTGTTCTACTTCTGGACGATTGGAGGCTAGCTTGAAATTTTGTGAGAGAATGGTAACAATGGGGCTTGTTCCTAGTTGTTCAACAGTTAATAAGATGTTTAGTAAGCTGTGTGAAAATGGGGATGCCAAGAGGGCTAATGAGATGTTGACCGTGTTGTTAGATAAAGGGTTTGTTCCCGACAAGCGTACATATTCCTATCTTGTTGCAGGCTATGGTAAAGATGATGATGTCGAGGGAGTTCTACAGCTTTATTTTGAGATGGAACACAAATTATTTATGCCTGATTCGTCAGTTTTCACTTCATTGATTATCAGTCTCTGTCGGTGTGGGAGATTAGAAGAAGCGGACAAGCATCTGGAGACAATGAAAGCTCGATCATTTGTTCCAAGCTCATACGTCTATGAAACGCTGATTGTTGGCCACTTGCAGAAGGGAGACAAAATGAGAGCTCATAAACTTTACACTGAAATGGTTGGAGAATGATCAAAGACTATTACCTGATATATGGGATGCGAATGTTGATTTACAACGCATACGAGCTGAAGCGATTGCATACTTTAAGACAGAATGTTCAAAGTAGGCCATTTTACTTGTGGCACCTTGACTAAGAAATAGTGCACCTGGATGTGTAATTTCTTAGAATCTTAGGTATATAAAGACCGGATTTTTTGTGTGCACAAACAACAATTTGGTTCACATATCAACAAATGGAAAGAAAGTTTGGGACATTGGAGAAGAACTTAAATTTATTTACAACAGCAATAAGCATATTTCCTATATAGAAGCAGCTGATGATGACAGTTACAAACTCAAGCCTTGTTTTCTTTGTTTCCATTTCTGTTTTGTAGGTTGGGAAGTTAGATTAAAGTTAATGAGATGTATTATTTTCAGATAGCCACAAATGAAAGTCGAACTTATGGAAATTTTTATAAACTGGTTTGGAGATTTATATTTAACACAAGGCGCGCATCGGTTTGGACCAGATAAAGATAATTTTAGGCCTGGTTTTTGGTAAAATATAGTGGCAATAGTTATCTGTTGCTAAGTAATTTCTATTTTAGTTTCTAGTTGGGTGTATCCCAAGCATCTAGCAGGGCTTCCTCGGTAAGTTGTTGAAGATGTAAAACAACTATCTGAGTGGTGCAAAGGATAAGGGTGATGTATGCTCAGTCTTACTGGCAGTCACAGTGTGAGAATTCAATTCCTAAAATATGGATTGAGACTTTTTGTGGGCACCAGTGTACAGACAGCTCTTGTTCTTGAGCTTGTTGGGACACATCCTGTGATTAACTTCTCTCACGATGCTTCAGGGGCGGAACGGTGGGAGACCCTTAAGATTGGGGTTCAACCTTTTAAAACAACTATCTGAGTAAAGTAGATAAGGTTGCATGATTCATTTGATAATGAAACCAGCAGCTCCTGGCTCGTCCCGTCATCAAGTACGAGTCACTACACTACTACCAAGTACACCTCTTTGTTCTTAAGGTGCCAAATTACCATATCCTCCTTACCTAGTCGGCTCAAAGGCAGGTTTAAAATGAGATCACAATCAATCCAGATGTGCATCAATCTACTCAGAAAATCCTTTTCCATAGAAAAGATGATCCAGTTTTGGGTCCAGTTGCCAAAAAATCAACCTTCCAAAAATATTTACCTTTCAAGATTCTAGCCAGCGGGGAATCCAGATTGGAGAACGCTGTCTCGTCTGTTTTGTCACCAGGGCCTTATTGAAACACTCCTAATCACGGAAACCAAACCGCCCACTCCCTTTGGCCTACAAACCATTTCCATGCAGTCCATCCCATTGGTCTTTAGTTATTCTGTGTATACTATTGTGCTCAAATAAACATTACCAAATACGATTGAGGAAAAAAGAGTAACAATTTTGTCTAATAGTCTGTTCATTTCTCTGGAGTTCAGCATATCAGAAATGCAATTGACAAGTAAAAAGCACAAAAAGAGAGAATATATAGTCGAGCTCAATTGTCAACGCAGTCTAAAATGTTCTTCAGCTTCTCCTTATGCCAAAAAAGCAAGAACATCTCGACATCACATATGAACAAAATGATTTTTACCCTTGATAAGTACTTGACTATTTATACTAACCAACCAACCAGTAACTCCATAGCATGATTTACCATATGAACTAAGAAAAGAGGAAACTAATAGATGTTCTTTTAATGCAAGTGGATATTCATTGTCAGCTTCAAGGGAAAGGAGCATCATAATGATCTAAAACGATAATGCCTACACATTCAGTCAAAATCACGGCCTATTTATTTCTTAAACGTAAAAGAAATTTTTTTTGAATTTCTTTTCTTTTATGTATGAGCCTGGTGAAACAAAAACTTCTTCCTCCCCTTACTCCACCCCTGGTCAAAATGAATTCCACAAGTTGTTGAACCCCTAGGAAGCTCTAGCAATTGTTTGCAAATCTCAAGTTTTAGTTCTAGACTAATAAACGAGGGTGAGATCGTAAGATCCTTCAAAACTCGAGCATTAGCCAACAAATACTTTACCGTCTCCATCTCTTGTGCAATTCCGTGAAATCCTAATAGCACAATAACTTCAAGGCTAGATAACAAGCATTCAGGCACCATTTCTACATCACTAAGGAGACTGATTTGCATTTCCTCTTCAAGGAAATCCTCATCATTCTCCTAACAAGAGAAACAGTAGAATGAATATTTAAAAACTATAAAAAAATTTCAAGCAGCAGAAACTACCAAATACTGTTCATTGTAACCCTCTACCTCACGAATTAGTAGACATTTTAGGTTTGGACAGATATTAAGAAGATAAGCTATCATTCCCTGATCAGTGTAGTAATTTACGCACAGCTCTAGACTGGTGAGGTTACTGAAAGTAGGCAGATGAAGGCACCGGGCAGATCTAGGTACCTTCAAAGGGGAGAAAATGGTAATCACAATAGTCCACGGTGGAAATCATTAATTTCAAATAATTGAGATAAAACAATAAAATGTAAGATCATGTTACATGACGGAATATACAGAAAGAATAATATTATCTAACACCATTGACACTACAACACCAAAATAGGTGGCATGATGTTATTGACTCAATGAAAGGTAAAATTAAATAACTAATTTAATGTCACATTATTATCACCTAGGCTAACACCAGTGGTGTTAAATAGCATTATACATACAAAAAACATGTATAGAAATAGAGCAGCTTACAGCTATGAAAAATTCATCCATCGATGAGGATTTCACGATGCCAAGCTCCCAGAGAAATCTAACTGCACGACTATGAAATAATTCAGCAGTAGCGCAACATCCCATTCTCAATTCTGCTGTAACTACTGATCCCAGATTCTCCACAATGTATTCCGTTGTGAACATATTAATAAGAAATAAGTCTCTGAGATTTGGGGGATTAATTACCAATTTCCATACCAATATCCCACAATCCGCTTCTAGCCGTACTGTCAATCTCTTCAAAAGTGGACAGGAAATAGTGAATATATTTTCATCTGCAGATCCCTCAATAGTTAAGTCCTCTAGAACTGGGCAACTAGAGAAAAGCTTCTCTGTGAAGTCACCTGAAGGCTATATAAGATCAGTATTGAGAATTTTCAGATTTGGAAGATGGAAAGAAGTAGGAATATTCCTTGGGGAAAATGGACCATGACAGTGAAGTATTAGACATGTTAGGGTCTTGCATGTGAAAATACACGGCGAAATCGTTGATCCTTCAAATAAAAACTTGCGTACGTTACGTTGAACTACTTCATTCACCCATTTATCAACATGGTCAAATTTAACACCATCATCTATCAAACAGAAACTATTAATCTGTTTTGAGGTGCAACAGCTGAGTACATGATCCACGTGAAATGCAATCGAATCAGCTGCATCGAAATCAAGATTGATGATAGAAGTCCAAAGGTTTCGCCACCTCTTTGACAAAATGCTGGTTTGGACTGCAGATTGTGTAGAAAGAAATTAAAGAATATGACCAATTATCGCATCTGGCAAGAAGCTAATTCTATCTCCTCCCAACATTTTGAAGATTCTTTTCCCTTTTGAACTTGATTCTCATTGTATAAGGTACTCTTTCCCTTAGAACTAGCAAAAAAACGGAGAAAAAAAAAATTAGAAAAATGTCCACGGCTCATACAACAATCAATTATCCTCCATGATGCAACAAGAATTAGGGTGATAAATCATTAACCATTTGTACGAAGGCATTTTTTTGTAATCTAAAAATAAACAAAAAAAATAAAATAAAATTAATGAATGTCAAAAACAGTAACAATAACAAAAATAAAAAATATTAATAAAAGATTAACAAGACATCAAATTGGGGACAAATTGAACTTGAAGCAAGTACCATGAATCACCAAATTGAAATAAATGTTGAATGAAAACAAAAATTGAAAAGGGGATTCAAAATGAATAATTTCGAATCGTTAACCATATTTTAGCTGAAAATTTTCTACCTTAATTACCCATTGGAGCCAATTTCACACGCCAGTTTCTTGGATACAATTAAGGATTTTATGTAGATGCCAATATCCGGTGGTTGGATAGGAGATGGTGGTGAAGCCGATGAGAAGCGAAGAATGGTGAAGCCGATCCAAATGAGAAGAGAAGACACGGGTGATTTTTTTATTTTTTTTATTTTTTATTTTTTAGGAAAAAAATGAGTTAACTAAATCACCAATCACCAACATTTAAGTTTGGTTACTACTTGCTCACCCAAAAATAAATGGTTACTGAATGCTTACCCACTTTTGAAAATCCATCACCTGTTTCACTTCCATCCATCCACCTAGGCAAAAATTTCCATGAAGCAAACGAAATTCCTACGTGACCACAAACATCGTTAATAATTGATAAGTGGTCACTAAAAATTAAATGAAACGTAACCCTTTTCCTTCAAACAACATTTTCTTCCTTTCCAAAAATGCTTTCTTCCCAGAAAATTAGGTATTTCTTCCCAAACAACGTATCTTCTCTTCCAAATCTTCAACTCTGATTTTCCCAATTTAAAACCTAGTTCATTTTCCCCAAATCCTTTACCAGCGAAAATCTAAAAATTTTGCCTCTTCCCACAACTCCTCATGGAATAAATAGTGAGGGGGAAAGCATTTGGAGATTGTATGGAAATTGTCAATTAAATATATTTGACTGGTTTAATTTTCAATTTAGAAAATATTACACTTGTCAATTTTTTATTGGTGGGTTAATGAAAGAGAGTGGATAAATAAGGAAGAGAGAGTGTGTAAATTCCGTGGAAAATAAAATTCTACTCTTTCTAAAGAAAATATTTTTCTTGATTTTGAGGAAAATATGGTTACGAGACTAAAAGTGGGAAAATATTTTCCATAAAAAAAATACCAATCAAACAGCACAAAATAGGAATTTGAGTGAAAAAAAATACATTTTCCATGAAAAATATAGGTAATCAAACGCACTCTCTAAGATTTTTATAAATTTAAGGGTTTAAGTTATTTGTCAATAATGTTCCATTATCTAATAGAGGCTGTTGCAAGCCACTCTTTTATTTTTAAAGTTAATTAGTTTATTTTTATGTTCATATGGTATTATCAACTAATAGAAGCTATTAAGATTTTAATGGATTTTAAAATATTGGATTTGAATAGATTTTCACAAATTTCATAAATATGGTGAAATTTCAAAAATTTGATTATATGTATTTTTAAGCTTGAAATCCATCCAAATATTTCAAAACCTCTTTATTAATGAAATATTTATAAATTCACTTGTTATTGATAATATCTAAATTAAAAAAAAAAGTCATTGAATTTCATTAAAATCTTAAGTAGGGACACTTAAGTTTTAATGGATTTTATTAACACCTAAATTTAAAAGAATTTTTAAAATTCATCACAATATTAATTGATAGCACCACTTTGAGTCTTTTACGCTTTTATATCGAAGAAGTCGAAGTAGTAGTAGGATTCGTGGAGCATACTACGTCATAGTGTGATTGTATCCCATTTTTTAGGATTTAGTGGAATTATCTCTAATGTGCATCTCTATTTAAAGAGTCCAAATAATGAAAATGGAGTGAAGAATTTATATCACACACTAAGTATTTGAAGTAGTTTGAATTTCTCGAAAATTCAATTTTGGAGGTGAAGGTTTCTTGATTGCGCCTATCATAATAATTTGCATTATTAATTCGATACTAACAATTTGTGTTCATATCACGACAAACAATGAAATTTTATAGTGCAAGAAAAATTAGAGGATCTCAGGGTTTGAGATATAAAATTTCGACCTGCTATTCTCATCATGCATGTAAAAAGTATTCTTCCCTTTTTTTTTTTTTTTTTTTTTTTTTTTTTTTTTTTTTTTCTTTAAAATTTTTTTTTTTTTTTTTTTTAAAAAAAATTTTTTTCTCTCTTTTGAAAAAAAATTTTTTTTTTTTTTTTTTTTTTTTTTTTTTTTTTTTTTTTTTTTTTTTAGCCATTGTTAAAAGGGGAATTGAAGTATATGGAACACTCATCAGAAGATGTATGACTTCGACTAACAAATTTGAAATTATGAGTTGGTCAAAAACTTTATTTTTACGGTATATTCTATTGTATCAATACCTTTTACGACTTTTAACCACACATTTCTCGTGAAAATTTGTGAATTGGGTTTTCGAAACAGTGTAAAAAGAAGGGCTTCGAATCATTGCTATTTGACTCGGCAATGAAGTTTGTGATTAAAATTAATTGTTTAATTTGATTTAGAATTTAATCAATTTTTAGCTAAATTAAATAGGGACATAATCTAGAAAATGTTCGTTTGTTGGCTTAATTTTTTACAAAAGAATATTTATAGATCATATGACTTTGAGTAAATTTTAATTTTAATGAAGATTTTTTTGTTTGATAGAAAATATTTAGTCCACTTCTATTATTTGTCTTACGAGCAGACTTGAACTTGGTCGAGTTCCCCAAATAGGTCAACCCAATGGTCAAGTCGCCTAAGTTATTACAACCAAAAAAGGAAAAATTGAAGTAGCAGTTCCTAACCTTTTTATTTTTTGCAGACTTTATCCTAACCTTTATTTTGTGCTAGTGGATGTTCCTAACCTTTCATAAATATGCACCTGAGGTTCATTTGGATGGAAACAGTCCAAAACACCGTTAGTTGACCTAAAAAATTAAAGAATTAACATTCAATAAAACCGTCCAAAAAGGTATCAACATCCAATAAAAATCATCGCGATAGCAGATAGTTCAAAGAATTTTCTCTATCAACTGATGATGTTTTGAACGGTTTCTGACCAGATGGACCTTAGGTGCATGCTTATGAAATGTTAGAGACCTTCATTGGCACAAAATGAAGATTAGGATAAAGTTTGTAAAATATGAAAATGTTAGGGACCGCTACTGCAAATTTTCCACAAAAAAATGGTATATAATTTCAAAAAATAGCAATTACTCAACACCTTGAACCAACCAAACAAACCAACTTTAGTCTGCCCTTGTTTGAGCCCCATTTTAGGGGATAAGAATGAATTTTTGAATAGTGTATTAATTGGAAATGTGATTAAAAAAATAAGGAAAAAGTGATTAAAGGAAATGTGATTAAAAAAGTTGAGTCTTATATGAAGCATGAAAGAAGCACAATATCTTGTGGAAGAGAAGCAAGGATTAAAGGAAGAAGGGCATTTTGAAATCTCAACATTTTAACCAGAAAATGTTGACATTAAATTGAAAAGAAGCTCAAAGTTCAGAGAGAAGTTGCAGCTCGTTTAACTGATGATCCGTTTTTCTCTCATTGAACAATGGAATTCATAAGTTGTAGAATGTCATTGCTTTAGTTTGAGCATTCTTAACTATATATTTTTTGTAATTGTTTCTCAAATTGAAAATATTTGCAAAATATTAAAGACACTAGTTTGGACATGACTGGACATCATTAAGGAAAATTGCGTATGAGATATATTTCTTTTATCGTATCTAACTCAATGGAATCCATCGTATTAAAAGTTGGTGAAGGGGTCCTTTATAGTGGCTTGAAATAGCGACCCAGCATGAAATTTCAAGGCATGGGATAACACTTTCGTCGAGACTTTATTTGTCCATTACATAATGAGTGTACACTGATCCAAGTAAGGATCCAAGATACAATGAATCAATGAAGTGTTTGTTGGTGTCTATGCACTAACGAAAACAAGCCAATCATCGTAGACGAAAGAGAATATATAAGAGAATCTTTATTATAAAGTTCTGCATTATTCCAGACATGAAGTATGGTTTTGAAGAAAGCAAAAACTCAAAATAGCAATTAGAAGAAAATAGAAAAAAGGACAAGATAGATTTTCATATATCTAAAAAATGAAAACAATTTATAAATGTTAAAGTTAATACACCCTTTCATAGAATTACAATACATCATAAGAGCCACAATCATTTATATATACGGTTACATAAATGTGAAAGGACGTGGAAATTTTTTATTTTTTTTTTAAAATTAAAAATGAACAAGTGCATAGTACCTGTTCTGGTGTGTGGAGGGCACCGCTAGACATGCAAGAATCCTTGCATGTCGCGGCCCGATCACCATTAAGCTCTGGCTGGGTGGCCGCTGCCATGTCCATTGCCATCCTAGCTCGTGGTCCTCCGTCCTCCATCATTTTGAACCTTTCTCGGATGATTCCACGACTCATACAAACTCTTTTATGCATCATACAACGTAGAAATTCGACATTATTAGGAAGTCTTCCAATATTAAGCATATGATCGTAATGATCAATTTGCAATCAAGAAACAAAGAAACATTTAATCATACTACCGAAGAGTGTATATATTCATAGCATTTCACTTCCCCTGTTCGTTTGAAATCAAGACAACTTTTCTGTACAAAATATAGTAGGGAGAAGAAAACAGAAAATCACAAAGAAATAAACATCTTTTTCCTTTTATCTAGGAAATTAATTTTGCCGGTGCGCGATATAATTAGCTAAATGATAGAGTGGCGCGGCCTTGGAAGCATCAAAGTAACTGAGCTCTTCCTTGGCTTTAGCCACCAGTTCTCCGGCAAACTCATTGGCCTTATCGAGTCCCAAAAGCTTTGGATAAGTAGCCTTGTCATTCTCCAAATCCTTGCCGGCCGTCTTTCCCAATTCCTCGGATGACTTAGTAACATCCAAAATGTCATCCACAACTTGAAAAAGCAATCCTATGCATCTAGCATATTTCCTTAGCCTCTCAACTTCAATCACATGTCCTCCACCCAAAATTGCTCCACAGACAACTGATGCTTCTAGTAACTTTGATGTCTTGTGCACATGAATGTACTCTAATTCTTCCAAACTCACTTGTTTCCCCTCGCTGGCTATGTCTACCACTTGCCCTGCAACTAGCCCTTGTGATCCAACCGCAGAGCCGAGTTCAGAAACGGCTTGAATCACTCTCTGGGGTGACACATTTCTTGGAGTCTTGGCTGCTACATGTTCAAAAGAAAGGGACAATAGTGCGTCACCCGCAAGAATAGCAGTTTCTTCCCCAAAAACCTTGTGATTAGTGGGCTTTCCACGGCGCAGATCATCGTTGTCCATGCACGGGAGGTCATCATGAATGAGTGTCATTGTGTGGATCATTTCAACCGCACAAGCCATGGGCATAACCATGGATTCTTCTCCTCCTACTATTTCACAAGAAGCAAGGCATAATACAGGCCGGACACGTTTTCCTCCTGCAAGAAGGGAGTACCTCATGGCCTCATGGATTTTAATTGGAGTTAGCAAAGGAACTGACTCGTCTAGAGCTTTGTTCACCATTTTTGCCTTCAATTTCATATACTCATCAAAATTGAACTCAGGAAATACTAAGTTTAGGGGTTTGGAGGTCACTAGTTCTTCTTGGGCTTGTAATGACTGAGAAATAGAACTCTTTACAACATGGGTAGGCTGAGTTTTCATGCAGATAATACTAAGGTGGTGGCTGAAAGAAGTTTTTGGTGGCAGAGAGAAGCCATTGTTAAGGTGTTTGTGAAGTACTAAGTTTTCATTGCTAGAAATTGCTGTCAAGAATGCCATTGATCAATGTTAAGAAGAGACAATAGGTGACTGGGTAGGTTGTATAGAGACTAAAGCTATATTTATACAAGGCATCAATCCATTTACTATGAGATGCTCTTTTTGTTCTCATTTGATTATTGTTTATGCTTCAAAATGTGGTTTTGGACCCTAGTGATACCAATTTTGGGAGTGGCTCATTTCTGTCTCTGTCTCTGGCTAGTAGTAAAGGTTGTCTTGTATATTTAAGAGTCAGGATCCAAAAGAATTGTTGCCGACTTCATATTTATCGAAAACAAGATTCAGTCCCCCCCCCCCCCCCCCCCCCCCCCCCCCCCCCCCCTCGCTTGGTGGTGTCCAACACCCAATGAGAATCTCTTAAGCCGAATTTTGTACATTTCTCCAAAAAAAAGCTCCCTTGTAAACACAGTATTGTTCATTAGCCAATATTAAACAAATTGTCCTGCAAACCATTGACTTATTGATGAAAGTGGACAATTAATCAATAATTTATTACTCAAAATAGTTGTAAGACTGCTCCCAATTTTAAAATGCTGTTAGCTAATTGAAAACAAAAGCAAACAAGATGGAAATTAAGAAACGTGTATACTTTGAAGAGAAGGTATACGTTGATTCCAAACCCAACCTAATCAGTAGATTCTTTTCAGACAAACAAAAATTTGTTGACTTGAGGAAAATTTTAAATGCGGTCTACGTTAATCTCTCCCTCTCCCTGTATGTGGGACTCGAACCTATCCAAACTTTTTTGATTAATCTTTTAGATGTTTGTCATAGAATTTGATGTTAAATGATGAGGTGGTACTTGACTCAATGCATAAAGGCGCGCCAAAGAATGCAAGAAACATATACGAGGCATTTTTTCTCAAAAACAATGTTTGAAGCTCCATCTTATAAAATACAAAATTGGTTAATTGCTCAAGCACATCAACCAACACAAAAGAATGTCACAAATGTGTTGACATGCTTCGTGTCGATATCTAATTGAATGATCAACAAATGACTCCTTCTTCAGAATTTGCAACCTCGACAGTATCGCATGCATTCTTCGTACCATTTGCATGCCTAATGCGCTTCAATGGATGGAAAATCCCGTAATGGCTCTATTCCATGCAAGGTCTAAGCAGCAATCGAGACCTTTGGACATCTTAGAGGAGAATCAAATACCTCTCCTATGTTTGAGGCTTACTTTAAATGCTCCTATTGACTGTCAAAGGCCTGCGCAAATACACATGAAGGTATCAAAATGAATAAACTACAATATTTATTCTTTTAAAAACATGGCTAGATTTTAATATTTCACACATAGGACGATGACATATATGCATCGTTACAAAAATTTTATTTCATGTTTTACTATGTAATTTTTACTAAAAATACTGTTTCATATATGAAGTATATTTAAAAATACTAATTTCTAATAATAAAAACTGAATGACAATTTGTCATTGAAATATTTTGAATATTGCACACTTCACTGAGAATGGGTAAGGAATATCAATGGCTTCCGTTGCTTGAGCAGACTGTATTTCCCTCCCTCAATTGGAACCCAGAAACTAGCGGAATCTGCATCAAAAGTTTTCAAATTCGAAGCTCTATCCTGGGGCCAAACTATTATTCTTTCCTTTCTACCTCAACCAATCACAGCACATACTTTCCAAAAAATACACAGGCAGTGCCTGGAGTGGTTGCCCATAGTGTTTCATTGGAAATTTGATAGCGAACTACTTTGAGCAAGAGTACCCGAAGCTTGGACGGACAGAGTAGTTTTCTGAAGCTGATGTATGCAAAATAATGACTAAATTTTCTGCTAAAAGCTCTTACTTTTTTTCTACATGGCAGAATCATCTCTATAAAATAAATAAATAAATAAAAATTTCATCAGCCATTACTTGATACCGAACAAAAATTTCATTAAAATCTAAATTCACATAAACACAGTCGTCATTTCTAACAATCCAGATTTTGTAACGTTTATAGATAATAATAGGACAAGTTTTTCTTGGCCCTGTGATATCCATTACAATCTCTCTACTAACAATCTCGTACATATCTAGAAAACGGTGAAAATCAGGCGGTCTTTACAAGCTTTGTTGACCACTTATGAACCAAGCAACCAGTATTTCTAATTTTCACATCCATGAATCTCCTTTTGCCTTTAGCAGCTTCGGTTTCCTCAAAACTTGCCATCGACGCAGTACTCCTTAGAGGTGGTTGAGGATCGCCTGTCCCTATTGATGCCTCCACAACTTGATTCACCATTTCTAAAGCCTCGCTCATTTCTGGGCGTGTTTCTGGGAGTCTGGCCAAACAATGATCGGCTACAAGTGAGAGTTTGTTAAACACATGCTTCCCTTCATGCTTCAAATCCAATATCAACTTAAACTTCTTAGTATCAGATAAAGGCTATAATAGAAAACAAAGGAATTTCAGAGAGAATATGTTGTTACATACTCCTTCAAGTAGGGTTTTTATGCTTGCAATAAATCCCCAATCAACACAAGGTGAAATCAGACTTTGATTTGTGCGATAATAGAGTTTACATATTGCGTGAAATCTGTATGATGATCAATTGTTGAAAGATTTTTTTGGGATTTTTTGGAGGAAGATGATTCTTGTTTGGGAAGAAGATGAATGTTTTTAGGGATTTCTAGATTAAACAACTTAAGGGGGGTGTTTGTAAGTTACCTAAATGGGTAATTGGCACAAAATGGAGGAAATGGTGGGCAATGGCTGTCCCACCCGGTATGTTTTCCATAATAGCCTTTGACCAAGTTATTTGTTAAAAAAAAAAAAAAAAAAAGAAAATGTAAACAAAATGTGTAGGGTCGAAAATACCCTCATTTAGAGGAAAGAAGAGAAGAGAAAATAGAGAGAAAAAAGAAAAGAAAAAAGGGAAAAATCAGCTACCGACCGTCGACGTCGCCTATGGACTGCCCGGACCTCCCCAACTTCGACCAAGACTAGAGCCACCTCGGATTCGCCGGAGACCGTCATTTTCTTGAAGGTTAGACATGTTTTCTATAAATAACTACTTTGAATTTGTGAAAGTTTGAATGTTTAGGATATGAATATGGGTTAAATTCATGTTTCTATAGTTAAAATGTAAGAAAATATTGAATTTGAGGTTAAAATCTTGAAAAAAAGTGAAAAAAAGGGACGGAGCTCGCCGGAAATGGAGTTTCCGGCGAGCCCGCCGGTTTGGTCCGTAACGGACCAGATGGTCCGTTACGGACCAGACCGGACCCGGATTTGGTCCGGGTCTGGCTAACCGGCCCAAATCCGGGTCCGTCAAATATATATAATTTTTTTTTTGTTGTTGTTGTGTGTGTGTTAAGAAATAAAATGAAAAATAAAAGAAATAATATATTAAGAAAATTAAAGAAATATTTAAAGATAAATTAAATTGAGTTTTAATTTTTGTTCATTTCTACTTAAATATACGCTTCAAATAAATAAAACACATGATTAACGAAATATTAAAAAAATAAATTAAATTGAATAATATTTTTTTACCTAACCAATTAAGATAATTAATTAAAGAAATAGTGAAACGAGAAATCGAATAAATATTATTATTTTTATTCAAATAAATAATCGAAATAAATAATATACATAAATAACGAAATATTTAAAGAATAAATTAAAAAACAATACTTTTTTTACTTAACGAACTAAGATAATGAATTAAAGAAATTGTAAAAGGAAAAATCGAATAAATATTATTGAAATAAATAATCGAAATAGAGTAATTAAATATGAAATAAATAAAACACATGATTAACGAAATATTAAAAGAATAAATAAATTGAATAACATTTTTTTACCTAACCAATTAAGTAATTAAATAAAGAAATAGTGAAACGAGAAATCGAATAAATATTATTGAAATAAATAATAGAAATAGAGTAATTAAATATGAAATAAATAAAACACATGATTAACGAAATATTAAAAGAATAAATTAAATTGAATAATATTTTTTTACCTAACCAATTAAG